TTAATGATTACACTTGTTACGTAATGCAAGTTATCGCAAAACAATCGTAAATTATTACGCATAGTATTTTCTTCGCAAAGTTAGGTTAAAGAGCTACGTGCTTATGTCAAGTCATTGCTCTCGATTTCAACTTAAACTCTTCATTGTACGTCACGTGTAGCAAGCTTTTAGTAAATATACATACGAGTTTTACATCATGCTGTTTTATAGATTAAAAAATAATACGAGACACAAATGTATCATTTTCAGCTCGTTGGAGGTGCATATAGCTTCCCGTTTGTTTTCTTTAAAAATTAAAATAATTTGTAATTTTCAAGTAGCGGAGGAATTTCCAAGTAGCCGTCCGATTTTTATGTAGCTGACCAAATTTCATGTAGCCGACCAATTTTCATGTAGTCGACCGATTTCCATGTAACCGACCAATTTTCATGTAGCCAACCGATTTCCATGTGGAGGAGCAATTTTCACGTAGCCGACCAACTTTTTTTTTCAAGTAGCGGAGCGATTTTCCAATAGCGAAAGGATTTTCATGTAGCGGACCAATTGTATATATGGGCCACCGTATCTATAACATGATGTAAAACAAATATAAAAAACTTGAACATAATTAGTCAAAGCATGGCAGAGATATGGCGCTAGAACTGCATTCATTAAAACAAAATAGCCACCTGTCGGCCATTTTAAATTGGATCTGAAAAATAAAATGATGTGCATCAAGGTCCCATAATCTCTAATGTATGTACCAGGATTGAACAAAATCCATTCGTAAATGCCAAGATCCAGTTCTGGAATGCCAGAAATGCTTTATTTTTGATGATTTTTCAGCACAAAAACTGCTGCCATTTTGAATAAGATATTCAAACTAATACAAATGTATATCTATGTCATGATGTATAATGAATATATAAATTCTGAACATAATCAGTCAAAGCATGGCAGAGATATGGTACTAGAACTGCATTCATTAAAACAAAATGGCCACCAGTCGGCAATTTTAAATTAGATCTGAAAAATAAGGTCCCATAACGTATGTACCAAGTTTAAACAAAATCCATCCAAAAATGCTTGGTTTTGATGATATTTCAGATCAAGAAACAAATTGATGTGCACATGTATAATATGATGTATGTGTGAAGTTTGATTATGATTGGTCCAGGCATGTCTAAGATACAGGTCCAGACGCACGCACACACGCAGATGCACAAAGGTCAAAACACAATTTTGTTTTCAATCTCATTCCGAATTTCAAAATCCAATTTCAATTTTTTGACCTCTGACCTCATACCATGTGACTAAAATTATAAATTGGCATGGATTCTGGCAGTTTTTATTTTCTTGGTTTCATCTGTTGGCTTACACTGCGTTGCCTTGTATACTGACCGTACACTATCCGGTACCACGAGGCAGAAGAACCTCGGCTATAACTTATTCTAATCAACCTTGGAACTCTCATTCTAAGGTCTATGGTAAAACAAGTTCTGATTACTAATTATCGGCCCAAACTAGAATCCCAGAGGTGCAACATGAAGACACTAGTAGATTTAGTTTAGTGACCTCTTGGATTTGTACATGGTTTCAAATTGGAGGGGATATCAATATATTACTTACAGCTTCAGAAGAAATGTCATAGACCTGGCTAATACACGCACAATGCTCATTTTTATAATAATCAATATGCCAACCACCCAAGAACAAGTCAGAAGGATACCGCCGTTATACAGAAACAAGAATGCTCCCAACCCAGTAAAGTACATTGTGGGCCAGAGCTACTAGACCAAGGGAAGTTGTATTCTTCTCTAACGTGATCAGTATGATAAGGGACATTTATTCTGTTAACTTGATGATCAATGCCCATCTGTATTTCCTAATAATGTCTAACAATTTCTTTCCTGATCTGTAGTTGTATTATACATATACAGTATCTCCAATATCTCATATGCAATGGTAACTTTTGTTTAGCTCAGAAGTGGCAAATGTTTAATGATTCAAACTGAAGCAAATCATAATTTGTGCTACTTTGGTCACGCTTTGCATCTTCAATGTTCTTCGATATTTTGTATGAATCATTTAGCCAGGCCATTTGAACCTTGATGTTAAATGCTTGATGATGTTGAATTGTAGAACAAATATATGTGCAAAGCGTGAACAAAATTTGGTCTACAGGTAATTTGTTGTTTATTTGTGGAAAAATCTTTTGAATACAAACACCTAATTATACAGAGAAAACTTTCCAGGGGTATTTGAAACCAAAATTTGTCATTCCAGCTCAGAAGTCGATCAGTGACAGCCCAACTGAAATCATTTGGCTGTGAAAGATTGGTATTTTTTTCATGCTTTGTAGGAATCTGAAAAACATGTTTCTCAACTTGTTTAGTTTCAAATTGGTGGTCTCAATAAAGTAAATATCGATAAATTAATCGTATTTATTTTTACTTGTACATGTATGCCAGCTGACTGTGATTGTAACATTGTCTGTTTCAGTAAAATAGCTATGATTTTGAAAATAAACACCAAATAGGCCGGAATAAATGTTGAATATATTAAAACTTGTAGCATGTATTACAACATTCTATTTTCTCTTGTATCTCATTAGTTCAGTTATACAGTTAATATTTTTAGTACAATCCTCACAGAGGATCATGCAATGGATTCCTTATTTCAAACACTTGCAATATCATGATGTTCAAATACTTTTTTGTTACAAGAATAAAAATGCAAAAAAAAATTAAAAGTTTTTAACCTGGTCGTTATCTCACATTTATTGTAGCTTTACTGGGGTAGAGAACTGCTACAGTTTTGTAGAAGTGGGTGAAAAAAAAATAATCATTATTTTTTAACACTAACTTGATACAAGATAAGTCATAGCAAAATTGTAAGAAAAGCTAGAATAAGTCATTTTAACATACAATATAATTACATCAATCAATCCTTCCACTATTAATTGGTAAAAAAACCCAGATGTAAATCTCTGCATGTCATCTTGCAACCAACCGCCAATCACAGGAAATAATCAGGCGGACACTAACATTCCATATATGGGGGTGACAGCTAATGATGGGGCAATCCACATATTTCGCATTCTCTCCTGGGGGGTTGATTAATAAATGTACAATGTTTACAAGTCCAGAGAGCAGCAACACTGCCACCACCGATGGAAGCTGGAGGACCACCGGATGCTATATCTGACGGTTCCAAAAATGCACCTTCAGCGGACGATGGGCTGGATCCTATGAACGAAAGAAAGTAATTCATCTCTTTAATATACTACCCTCAAAATGCAATGGAATATTCCACAAACCTGGAGTGTGTTAACTCTTTGAATGTCAAAGTGAACTTTGCCACTTTTTTCAAAATAAATAAAAAACCAATGGGGAATTAAATCCATTTGGTTAAAAAAAAAATACATGAAAACGTGCTCTAAAGTTTTGGCGGGAAAAATGATGATGATGTACAGATACCTGAGTGTGCTTGTATGAGCTGTTCTATTGTTGCCCAATGTTCCCCTTTGGTCCAATCTCTCATCAATCCAACATCTCTATCCTTCACAGCAAGTAATAAACCATCCATATGATTCTAGTCAATAAACAATATCATTTTAAACATACATGCACTATCATTAAATTCTGGATTTTGTTTCAATAAAGCGACCGCCAAACGGCCATCTTGAACTGGAGATAATGATGAAGATTTCAACTGTGTTCCAACAGACTCCAATATTTTTAATCTCCTAAATTCGGGTGGTGCGTAATTAATATTGTGATACAATGTGCATATTTTTGTGACCAGTTCTGTTTCTTCATTGTAAAAGTAAAAGTCAATTTTATTTTCCCTCAAAGACATAATATCCCCTTTAATCTGTCATACGGTGAATTAAAATTGTCATTTGCACTCTTTTCCCAGGGGGGTGCTCGGTTAAGCGCCCACCCCTAAAAAATCATGATTTTCGGAGTTGAGGACCCTGGGCGCTAACACAGTTAAGTGCCGTAAGTTTACCTTCAATGGCACAATGTCCATAGTTGCAAGATATAACAACACGTGCAGATCACACATTGCATCTAATAATTTCGCTGCAGGGTAATATTGCAAGTACTGTGATAGCGTCTCAAAATTCTGAAATAAATACAAAGATATAACAGTAATATGACGAATGACTGATCATAAATCTGAAATAAATACAAGAAATGACAGTAATATGACGAATGACTGATGATAAATCTGGAATAAATTGCAGATAGAACATGACTTTATTATCGGAATAGTTACCTGGATTTCAGCAATTGCTGATCTGTTTTCTATTGGAAATTTTCTTTCATTCTCATCTAAAAATGTATATTTGGGTTCTAGAGGAAATCCAGCAGGAACCTAGAATTAGAAAACAACATTACATCAAACACAATGGAGAATACAGAGACAAACAATTGCGACAAACATCAAAGGAAAAAAAATAAATTGTTTTGTGTGAATTTCTTGGAACGTCACATTTAATTAAGTTGCCAGCTACACATATCACAATTTTCCCAGTAGTTTATGTAACCCACATTTTAAAACATGCTGTATAAAATATATTTATATTATATTCACTTCCATATACTAGTACTGCATACACATTTTAGTGTTAAATAGACTGTATTTATCCGGGTAAGAGCCGGCATATGCCCAGGGGCTCTTTTTCTACACTTGTAATAAAAAAAACTATTTTTTGTTTGTTGTATTAACAGTTGACTTCCCTGCAGTCTATTGTGATTCTGATAAATATTCATGAAAAATAAATATTGATTGCGTAAAACGGGGTGAACAGGGAAATTATAATGAGACATTGCAACCTCTGGAAATTGCTGAATGATAACTTTCACCATGATTGATGAGCGTCTAGTCTGATGAGAAAGCGATGTTGACTTGACCTCTATGATGAAACACTAGTAGTGATGTCATTCTTAGACAATCAGTAAAAGCAGATGCTTAAAAGTCAAACTCCTATTTTTTGGCAATTCTTCAGGACCCTGGGCTCTTACCTGGATAAATACGGTAGGCTTATTGCATCAACTTTATTCAAAACTTGTTGATGTACTACTACTACTAATAATGTGTTTTACTTTTGAAATTTGTTCATCGAAAAAATATTATCAAACAATGTTTGTGTCTGTGTATGATGTAACTTGGATTGTAAAATTCAAGTGTATCGGTAATCTCGCATGTGTAACATCACATTTAAATACTATTGAAAGATTATATCGAAGAAAATATGCAATTGCCTGTCCCTTTGATTTTATGGTCTACTGTATGTAGACATAAACCATATAGACAATTTTTGGGAAAAAAAAAAACACTAGCGAAAGCTGTCTACAAAGGGATTTCATTATTGTAGTAGTCA